GTTGTCATGTATTTGTGAGTGTATTTTTTAACCCTTTACCACGATTCCGGGTCCATTACAGAATTATTTTAAGGCAGCAAGTAGAAAATGCTTAATTTCAACCGATAATACATTAAAGGATATGGGTGAAAAATTTATTCAAAAAGAAAAGGAAAAACGTCTCAACCCTCCTAAAACATTTGGCGATGCACCATTTGGCGAATTTTTAGACGAGCCAGAAAAACTACAGGAATTAACACGCCAAATGTTAGAAGTATTAAGTCGAATTTGGGGGTCGCCAAAATGGAAACTTACGCAACGACAAGAAACCCCAATATTAATGAAGGATCATATGTGTGTGAAATTATATCACCTTTAATAAATATTGTAATGAATGACATGCCTGTAGATTTTGATATTTGGGGGTGTGGGGCGATGAAGCAAGCTCGGCTAGTGCGGAACGAAAGGGGTCACGTAAACAAGCGAAACGCCCAGATTACATGATTGTTGCAAAAATAAATAACAAAAGGGTTGAGGCAGGATATCTAGAAACAGGTAGACCAGGATCTTCTATTGATAAACAAGTCCGGGATCATAAAAAATTGGATAGACTAGCAAAGGACTCTATCTATGAAACTCGGATGTCTAAAAACAAAAGAGCATTTGAAAAATTGCCAATGAAAAATATTTTGTCCATTTTCACGATCAATGTTGCTGGTAAAAGGTTGGAAATGCGTTGTATGTCTGGAGAATTGGGTCCTTATAGGAGTTTCTTACTTGATCAAGCGACCATTCCTTTATATATCTCGTTCACAACCACAGAAGATGTATATCATCTTATACATATTTTAGAACTGCGATTGCATGCACGATACGTAAAATATTGCACTCTACTGATGACTCTACAGAAATGATGTCATTTATGTCACAATCATCGGATATGTCACAATCATTGGATATGTCAATATCTTCGCAAATTTCAACAAAAGAAATCAGTTAAATTACCAAAAAATCATCTTAAGGTAACAGGGATTTTTCTATTTTTATATTTTGTTAATAAAGAGCATTTTTATTTGCCATACACATCGAGAGTATGAGTCATAGACTCTGGGTTTTTCCTATTCGAATCAATGTTATTTATCTCTAGATATTTGCATACCTCTTCATAATCGAATACTGCCTTCGTATCTTGTGTCTTCCTATTTATGATAGTTATATGGCCTTCGTAAATAATATGATCATATTTATCCCGGTTTTGAAATTGTAAATATTGCGTAGGATTTGTAGTAAATCTACCTTGAGTTTTGCGTCTGTTATTTCTAGATTTGCGAGACATATTAATATCTTATGTATAATGACGTATTACATAGGCAACCCCGTTAAACCGAAGGCAATTGTGCAGGAACTTTTCTTCGGATTAACGAGGGTTTTTTATAATCATTAGAGTCACAAATTAATTCGGATAAACGGGGTAATAAATTTAAAAATTTAGGATTTAGAATTTCCTTTATCCATTTTCTGGCAGTGAAGTGATTTGGATTCAATGATAAAAAACAATCACTCTTTTTAGAATTTCAGAAACAGTAGATTCACTGACATTATATTTGGATGCAAGCTGATTATTTTTTATGTTTGGATCTTTATTTTTTTCAATGCATAT